CCCGAAAAACGGCCGACCAATCAACCCACTAACAGTGTGAAAATCGGCTGATTTTTGAACCGTCTATGGCCGGCATTAGGGGCTGATTTACTAAAACTGGAGCACTCAGAATCTGGTGCAGCTGTGCATGGTAGCCAGTCAGATTCTAACTTCAGCTTGTTCAATTAAGCTCTGGCACCGAAACCTGGAAAATGATATTTGTAAAGCAGAGCTCCACCAGATTTTGCATTCTCCAGTTTTAGTAAATCGGCCCCTTACTGTAGGACTGTTGCTTCCTCCAAGAGGCAGGGGGGTAATCTGAGGTAATCTGATAGTCAAGAAATCATAGCTAGAAAGAAATCCCAATTCAAACCCATGATAGGTCAGATTCATTATATATCCTGTTACCTGTGATTTTCCACAATTTTGACTCTTTAACATTACAAAAAGGAATGTAAAATGTGTTCTGGCCTCCTACCACCAAGACTAGCACAGCAAAGACAAGGCAAATCTAAAAATATGCTATGTTAATTAATTACAGGTATTTATACAGTGCTTTACATATATTGTACATTCACATCAGTCCCTAACCCTCAAGGGGTGTACAATATAAGGTCCCTAACTTACATTCATACATACACATACTAGGTCCAATTTAGACAGGATCCAATTAACCTACCAGCATGTCTTTGGAGAGTGGGAGGAAACTTGAGTACCCGGAATGCCCAGGGAAAACATGCAATCTCCAAGCAGGTGGTGCTGTGGTTGGGATTCGAATCAACGACCCTAACACTGCCAGGCAGATGTGCTAACCATTTTGCCACTGTGCTGCCCCAATATGAACCACAATACTCTATGCTCCATTCACAAAAGCATATCGCATGCAGTATTTAGGTGTCCGGACACATTTTCAATAAACATCGCATGTGATCCTGAAATCGTCAATTCATTATACCGTTTTGCAGTTTTTACTACAAAACACTCGGTAAATACCGCATGAAAAGGCGTTAAACTCAATTCACAGAAGGAAGTAAATAATTAAATGCATGTGATAATTAAATAATTAAAAAATAAATATGATAGCCAATTTTGAGAAGTCTCTATCTTTTTGGATCAATCCTCTTAACAGTAATGCAAAAAACCTAAATATTGAAATATAGAAATCATTGGGGTTGATTTACTAAAGGAAAACCTTTTTTTTTTTCAGTTTTGGATAGGGTGGAGGTTGATGAGAACACATCTCAAGTTGTCTGTGCCCGCATTAGATTCTCCCTCTCTATTTCTCCTGTTTACCATTATCATTAAAAGTGAAAGTAAAAGAAAATCATACATTTTGGGTTGTTTCCTGAAAAGTAGTACAGGGGACATCTTCCAATGGGGACACAGATGGCAAAAAAAAAAAAAAAAAAAAAAACCTGACAGGGGTTATAACCCTCCCTTTCTCTATCCAAAATTAAAAAAAAGTGTTGCCTATAGTTTAACTTTAAGGCAAATTTTCTGTCAATTTGTACGTTGCTCCACAACTTAGTACATTCAGTAAATCTTCACTTTACAAAGAATACCCAATCACATGCAAGGAGAAAAAAAGAGCTTCCCGTCATTTACTAAGCTCTGGGACAACTTCACTTGCAAAGTGCTCCGTGTATGTGCCTTTAGTAAATCAACCCTATTACATTTAGAAAATCCACCCCATTACATGTAGAATAATGTATCCATTTTCTCCTGTCATTTCGCCAGATTTTTAGAGACTTTTTTTTTGTGAATTTACAAGCATATACATCATTTGCTGTAAAAAAAACCTCCCAATCACTAAATACATAATACAATGTACATGCATATACACAATGGTTTATTCCCTTATTAGAACATACACTATATTGCCAAAAGAATTGGGACACCCCTCCAAATCATTGGATTCAGGTACAATCACCTCCATTATTATATTAATATACAGGATTAATATAGCGGAGGGGGGATGTGGTACAAAAGGTAATAGCTGCAGGGGATGATCTGATGGAGGAGACTCAAGTACAGTTCTTAGGTGCAGGTGAGGTAGGCGTCCCTGAAGTAATGAGTTTTCAAGGATCGGCTAAAGGCGGTCAGGGTAGGAGCTAACCGGACATACTGGGGCAGGGAGTTCCAGAGGATTGGAGAGGCTCTGGAGAAGTCCTGGAGGTGAGCATGGGAGGAGGTAACAAGAGAAATGGAGAGCAAGAGGTCTTGGGTGGAGTAGAGAGGATAGTTTTGATGATATCTGTAGATGAGGTTGGTGATGTAGCTGGGGGTGATGTTGTGGATGGCTTTGTATGTTGTGGTTAGTATTTTGAATTTTAGACGCTGGGCTAGTGGAAGCCACTAAAGAGACTGGCAGAGAGGGGAAGCAGTCACGGATTGGTTAGTAAGTTGTATTAGTCTAGCAGCAGCATTCATAAGAGAGTGAAGGGAGGATAGCCTGTGTAGGGGTAGGCCAGTGAGGATGGAATAGCAGTAGTCAAGGCGGAAAATAACCACGGAGTGAATAAGATGTTTTGTGGTGTTTGTCAGGAAGGGTGAATTCTGGAAATGTTGCGGAGGTTGAGGCGGCAAGAGTTAACCAGTGATTGGATGTGGAGGCTGAAGAGAGGTCAGAGTCTAGGATTACACCTAACACCCTGGCATGTGTGGAGGGACCAATGGTTGTGCCGTTGATCTCAATGGTAAAGACATGGGGAGGGGATTGGGGGAGGAGGAAATGTTACAAGCCCAGTTTTAGAAAGATTGTGTTTGAGGAAGTGGTGTGACATCCATACGGATGTCTAAGAGTATGAGTATGGAGTAATGGCTGTTGGTTTTAGCAGTTAGTAGATCATTGGTGAGTTTTAATAGGGCAGTTTCAGTGGAATGTTGTGGGCGGAAGCTGGACTGTAGGGGATCAAGAAGGTTGTTGTCAATGAGGTAGCAACTCAAACGGTTGTGGACAAGGTGTTCAAGAAGCTTGGAGACAAACAGGAGTAGGGAGATGGGCTTAAAGTTATCCAAACAGGTGGGGTCCAGTGAGGGTTTTTTTTTAAGTATAGGGATGATCAGTGCATGTTTGAGCTGGGAGGGAAAGGTGTCGGAAGATATGGAGAGGTTGAAGATGTGGGTTAGAGAGTTTAGGATGGAGCAAGAAGGTGGTTGCAGTAATTGTGAGGGGACAGGGTCCAGGGGACAAGTGGTGAGGTGGGCAGCGGAAAGGAGTTTGGTAACTTCCTCAGTGATTACAGGGTTGAAGGAGGAAAATGTTGAGTGTGGTGTTGGACTTGTGGAATTGTGTCGACTTTGTTTTTGAAATGATTGGCAATCTCCTGGGTGGTAAGTAGTAGGTTGGTGGCTGGGGGGGCAAAGTAAGGAATTAAGGGTAGAAAAGAGTTGACGAGATTTGGTTGAGAAGGTTTTGATAAGAGTGGTGTAGTAGGTTTGTTTAGCAGTGTGGAGACAGGAGCTGTATTTGAGAAGGGCAGATTTGTAGAGGGCGAAGTCTTGCAGGGATTTAGTTTAACGCCACACTTTCTCAAGAGCACAGCTGCGACTCTTGAGACTTTTGGTGTCATCTTTTTGCCAGTTTTGTAGCAGGCAAGGCCTGGAGCGCAGTGAATTCAAGCGTGGTACGTAATAGGTTGCCACCTGTTCAATAAGTCCATCTGTGAAATTCCCTTGCTACTAAATATTCCAGGGTCAACTGTTAGTGGTATTATAACAAAGTGGAAGCAACTGGGAATAAAAAAAACTCAGCCAAGTGGTAGGCCATGTAAAATGGCAGAGCGGGGTCAGTGCATGCTGAACAGCACAGTGAGCAGAAGTCGCCAACTGTCTGCAGAATCAATAGCTAAAGACCTCTAAACTTTGTGTGGCCTTCAGATTAACACAACAGTGTGTAGAGAGCTTCATGGAATGGGTTTCCATGGCCCAGCAGCTGCATCCAAACCTTACATCACCAAGTGCAATGCAAAGCGTCAGATGAAGTGGTGTAAAGCACACCGCCACTGGACTCTAGAGCAGTGGAGACATGTTCTCTGGAGTGACCAATCACGCCTCTCTGTCTGGCAATCCGATGGATGTGTCTGGGTTTGGTGGTTGCCAGGAGAATGGTACTTGCCTGACTGCATTGTGCCAATTGTAAAATTTGGTAGAGGAGGGATCATGGTGCGGGTTGTCTTTCAGGGTTAGGGTTGGGATTGGCTCCTTAGTTCCAGTGAAGGGAACTCTTAAGGTGTCAGCATACCAAGACATTTTGGACAATTTCATGCTCCCAACTTTGTGGGAACAGTTTGGGGATGGCCCTTTCCTGTTCCAACATGACTGTGCACCAGTGCACAAAGCAATGTCCATAAAGACATGGATGAGCAAGTTCAGGGTGGAGGAAGTTGACTGGCCTGCACAGAGTCCTGACCTCAACCCGATAGAACACCTTTGGGATGAATTAGAACGGAGACTGCGAGCCAAGCCTTCTCATCCGACATCAGTGCCTGACCTCACAAATGTGCATCTGGAAGAATGGTCAAACATTCCCATAGACACACTCCTAAACCTTGTAGACAGCCTTCCCAGAAGAGTTGAAGCTCTTATAGCTGAAAAAGGTGGGACAACTCAATATTGAACCCTATGGACTAAGACTGGGATGCCATTAAAGTTCATGTGCATGTAAAAGGCAGGCGTCCCAATATTTTTGGCAATATAATGTATGTCATATGTAGTGGGGATACTTTACTTTTCACAATTATTTTTAGACATATCTTCCAAATGACAAGTTCCCACTAACATCATTCATCTTTTTAGCTATCTATAAGGGGGTAATTCCTCCCAATGACCACAAGTGTAAGGAGTATTCTTCCCACTGATCATCACACTAATGTATCAGGAGTTTTAGATATAGTCATTTTGAGCAGGGGTTTCCTGAGACTTGAAAAATATTTCAAGGGTCTCTCTGCATTGAAAAGGTTAAGAAAGGCTGCTTGAAAGGGCAACTCAAGGCAAAACTTTCTTTTTTATCTAGGATAGAGCAAGAGGGGTTATAACCTGTCAGTTTATTTTTTTCATCTGTGTCCCCATTATAAGATGTCCCCCCTATTACTGATCTGGGAAAAACCCAAAATTTAGGATTTTCTTTTCATTTCACTTCCAATGATAATGGTAAATAGGACAAGTAGAGAGGGTGAATCTCCCTAATGGGGACAGTAAAAACCTAATAGGTGCTCTGATTCCTCTCCACACTATGCAAAACTGAAAAAAAGTGTTTCCTTTAGTTATAGTTTAAGTCAGTACAAAATATCTTTCTAAATGTCAAATACTGAATGAAAATCACACACACACATATACAGTATATATATGTGTGTGTGTCTGTGATTTGTGATACTATTTTCATTCAATATTTGACATTTCGAAAGATATTTAGTATTCACTTATTGAACTTCGTTCTTTTTGATACACCATGTGTGTTCCATGAAAGCAGCTTCCCTTTGACTGATAGTCTAGTCAAATTTTTTCTTTTGTATTAAAGTATAACTAAAGGCAAAACTTTTTTTTTTTTCTTCTAGGATCCTTTGCGGCTGTTGGCTTGTAGCTCTCAATGAACTACCACGGAGCTGTTGACTGACTTCCTGTTAAATGGTATCTGCTTGCCCATATGGGATGTATGGGCACACAGATACATTGACAGGTTTGTAGGAGTCCTATAAGGCACCCACGATCTGCTGAATCGGCGGTGCAATGCTTTCCAGGCTCCAAAAAAAAAAAGGCTTTTTTTTTTTAAGTGAACTTATCCTTTAAATAACAGACCACTGTTCTATTTTAAGAACATTTAAATAAAAAATGAAATTTATAAAAGAGAGATTTTTTAGACTTTTAGGGCTCGTTCACACTTGACTGTTTTACCAACTCTTGCCAAACGCCCCTATAGCGTTTGGCAAGCATTGGTCCGGCGTTTGCAGAGCGTTTTTTAACGCTCGGCAAACGTCGCATGCGCGGTCCAGTGGCGGATGCTAGGTGTTTTTCAGAGCGTTAAAAACACCCTACAAACGCCTATAATGAAGTTTGAATGGTGTTACCGCTCCTCAAACACCCCGCAAACGCCGGCTGGGCGTTTGCGGAGCAGCACCATAGACCAGAATAGGAGGCTTCAACGCCTCCTGACTTGACCAGAGGCGTCCGTTTTGCCGCGACGTTAACGCTCCCATTAGAACAGCACCATGTGCTGCAATGTGCAGAATTGTCCAAGGCGTTTGGGAAGCGGTAAAAAAACGCTTCCCAAACGCCTCTCTGCCGCCTGCACACAACACTAGTGTGAACGTATCCTTAGTCTCATAGCTAACACTTTGGAAAGAGTGAAATTTTGCATAACAGGAAACAAACATGATAAGCTGCAGCTTGGTTTATTAAGTACTATTCTTGTACTATTCTTAAAGTTTTTATAGTACCTAGAAATAATTTATCTGACAGAAGTGCAAAAAGAACACAGTCTATTCTTATTCATTGGTGATACAGAATTGTTTGTTCTTGGAGGCTGTAGCTTCGGGAATTGGAATTGTTTTCCTCATCTGAGCTATAAATACAGCTTCTTTGCATACAGATATCAGTCCAGGGCACCTAGAGACTCTGTGATGGGAACAGCAAGTTCCCTAAGAAATTAATCCCCCAAATGCTTTGATATTTGTCACAAATTGTGACTAGTACATTATACAGTGCATTCAGAAAGTATTCAGACCCCTTTTATTTTTTTCAATTTTGTTATGTTGCTGCCTGATACTACAGTTGTTCAAATTAATCTTTTTCTCATTAATCTAACATTTAGTTCCCCATTTTGAAAAAGTGGAAACATAATTTGAAAAATGTTTGCAAATGTGGGAAAAAGGAAAAATTTAAATATCACATTGTCATAAGTATTGAGACCCTTTGCAACAACACTTGACATTCAGCTCAAGTGCCTCCCATTTCTCTTGATTGTTGCTGAGATATTTCAAAAACTTGACTGGAATCCACCTGTGGCAAATTAAATTGATGGGACGTGATTTGGAAAGGCACACACCTCTATGAAAGGCCTCACAGCTGACAAGGCATACTGTATTAGAGCAAAAGCCAAGAGGTCAAAGGAACTGCCTGGAGAGCCTCAGAGACAGGATTATTGGAAGGCACAGATCTGAGGAAGGCTACAAAACAACCTCTGCTGCACTGAAGGTTCCCAAGAGCACAGTGGCCTCCATAATTCTCAAATGGAAGAAGTTGACACAACCAAAGGCTGAGCGTCCGAGAGAAGGGCCTTAGAAAGAGAGGTGACCAAGAATCTGATGGTCACTGACTGAGCTCCAGAGATCCTGTGTGGAGATGGGACAAAGTTCCTGAAGGACAACCATCACTGCACCCTTCCACCAATCTGGGTGTTATGGCAGAGTAGATAGATGGAAGCCTCTCCTCAGTGCAAAACACATGAAAGAGGAGAGGTTTCCACCTAGCCACCTTACCATAAATCCCAGATTGGTGGAGGGCTGCAGTGATGGTGGTCCTTCTGGAACTTTGTCCCATCTCCACACAGGATCTCTGGAGCTTAGCCAGAGTGACCGATGTGAAATTTCAGTTTTTTCTTTTTCATAAATTTTCCAACATTTAAAAAACTTCTGTTTTCACTTTGTCATTATTGGGTACTGAGTGTAAATTAATGAGAAAAAAAATAAATTTTAAACAACTGTAGTATTAGGCGGCAACATAACAAAATTGAAAAAAGTGAAGGGGGTCTGAATATTTTATGAATGCACTGTAGCAATGTCACAGCATGCCTCTCCAGCCTTTGACTGTAATGGGGCTGTGAGTGGAGGGTGTGACATTAGGTACATTCCAATCCCATTCGCCCTATAGTGGTGAAGGGCACCTACTAGGCTATTCCAGTTTTATATGACCACGGTCAAAGTAAATAAAATTTATAAACCTCAGTCATGAAATCTGAACACAGCACATACAGTACATCTGTAGTGTTGTTGTCTCTCTCCAAAACTCTGAGTGTAATTTCTCTCTGGTGCTTCATTCTTTTGTTATCAGCATGTGTGACTTTTCACAAGTTGTCCTGACACCATGGTAAAATGGTGATGAGGGAGCAGAGCTCAGTACACAGCTTGTCTATACACAACACATCTCTGCATCGTTCCTTGTTCCTGTGCCGTGTGTGAAGGGGTGTGTGTCCCTTTTCTCCAATGAGCTCTCACACACTGTACAAGCGCTCTAACTGCAGCTCTCTGCCCCCCCTCCTCTGTGCTACTGACAGATGCAGAAGGATTTTATCTAAATTCAGCACTTTTACAGAGATGTAGAAAAGAGAAGACTGCAGATAAACAAGTAAAACTTATGTAGAATTTGTTTAAGCTCCGTGTATCATCTGAGGCTAATCATTTCACTGTGTACATGAGAGGGTTTACATCCACTTTAAGTCAAATATCATATGCAGAATTTAATTTATAGTGTTTATAGTGAATAATTTTACATGCCACAAGATTTGGAAATTGCATCATATACCCATGTCATCTACCAACAGCCTGTGCTATATGGCTGAACAATAAAAGGATGGTATGTTAAGCCTGCCATAGATGGATCGAATCTCTGCCATTTCAGCAGGGACTGGATGAAATTCGATCAATCTATGGGCAGACTGGTTGTACCCAAGTCGATCCATTGATTGACTTTAGTACAACCAGCCTATCAGATATTTTGCATGTGATCACTGCTGGTAGGAAGGATCCCCGCTAGCAGAACACAATAGCACTGCGGGACAGATACCCTCATCAACATTGACTGTGGAAAAAGAAAGAAAATTGTACAATCCATGGCTTGCATAGACTCTGCAGTTCTCTGAATTCCCTGCCAGTGCCCCTAATGTGCCTATAGAGCAGGCAATTGTTTGCAAGTCTGATTAAAACTGTCAGCTATATTACTGTACCATGAAATGCTCTAACTTGTAATGTTTTGATACTTGAAAGCAAAATATAAATATATTTGACTTTAAAACTGTCAGCTACTGGGGGCAGACTGACAACTCATGGGGCCCCCGGGCAATAGGGGATCATGGGGCCCCTGTGTCCTTGCCCAAACTCAAAAAAGCCTGTGAAAAAGGTACCATCTCATGGGGCCCCCTACTGACCCCGGGCCCTCGGGCAGTGCCCGAGTTTCAAAATGGTCAGTCCACCCCTGGTCAGCTATTATGTAGCAATTCAATACAAAGAAGATTCGGGCATTAGGACTGAAGAAGAACCCCACACCCACTTATATTCACCTTTGCCATGCTTACCCACTGTTCCATTCCTCTGTTGCATTGCTGAATTCATATCCTGCATTAGCTCCTTGGTGGATGTGTTGGAGCTTATACAAGTTAACTTCTTTTTCTTTCTACTTGTATAACAGTGTTTCAGCCTGACAACTGATTGCTCAAGCCCAAGAACTGCATCCTAGGAGGAGGTTGCATGCCCCCCCCATACCCAGAAGGACCAGTTATTTACTGAGGGCTCTGATGGAAGAAAGGATTGGCAGGGGAGCATGGTGAAGGTATCACCTTGCCCGTTCCCTTTGTGAATTTAAGACTGCTTTTTACATTTGCTGTGTGTTCACTACATTGAAGTGATAGAGCTGTTATGCATAAATGAAATTAACTTCTGACTGATTGCAAGATATTGAAATTTATTCTTAAGGGGCCAGTCTTGAATAACTGATGATTTGGTATTTTGTAGATGCTGAAAAATGTAGTCACCTGAAAACTTTTTACATCTTTCAGGAACTATATTAGTGAGATCTCTGTGATTAAGTTCTTAGGTTTTCATTATGAGGGGCTTCCAGTTAAGCAGAACACCTAATGCCAGGTGGACTATGGTATGTAGATTTTACTGTTGAAGACATACATATGATCTCATCTAGGATCTCTCCTATAACTAAACACTCACTTTTGGGTGGAATACGCATTTAACAAATGTGTGTACTCAAGTTATTCATTAAAACCCACATCCCAATATAGTTAAATAATACAGTCAGGGCTAAATTGCAAAGAGTCAGAAAGCTGTTTTCTAATTAGCCTAATTGATGACCTGAGTACATAGTACATTGTGGTTTGGGTAATGATCCAACTTTGTCTTTTGGCGTTTAATCATTACAAAAACAATGATCGGTTTTGTGCAAATCCTGTAACTCGTCATTTAGTGTTGTAGTAGCACGTTTGGAATTCCACAATGATGGGTGTTGTTTTGACTGTTGTTATGACTGTGTTGGTGTTTTGGTGCTCCAAGGTACTTACTAAACTCACTCAGTAGGGATGCCAAGAGATTATGAAGCTGTGCTGGGTTGATTCTGCAATCCTGTGACTGAGCAAGACAAAAGGATGATGAAGTTTTTTCTTTTTTTTTGATCTACTATTTTCAGCACTTTTATTTATGTTTGACCAGTTTTTTTTTCCACAAGATTTCAAAAGGCTAAGTCCACCAATAACTAAACAAGCTCTGTCACCAAGACCCATCACTGTTTCTCTTTCAAATGTTGCAGCAAACTGCAGTTAACTTCTTCCTTGCCTCTTCTCAGTGAAAAAATAAATTATGTAAATCATATAGAACATTTCCTACACTGAGAAATCTCTGTGAGCCCCCCTGAGTGGACCTAAATGGCTCAGTCCTAACATATGTTGTATAATATTTGCTTTTGTTATGGATGGCAGGATGTAGGTCCTGGAGGCCAACTCTAAGAAAGATACATGGTTGCTATTATTCATTGCTTCCCAGTCTTCTGGTTCTCACTTCCTGGGATCCTTACTTAGTACCCATCAAGGTATGATTTGGCTGACCCCAAGAGAGGGATCCACCCTGGTACAGCTAGGTGGGTCTAGGACTACTCTGAATATTACACCTGGGTAGAGACACAGAGGTCAAGGAAAGAGAGCCTTCCTCTCTGCGTTAAGGAGCTCTCGGTGGGCTAACTCAATATTGAACCCTAAAGACTAAGACTGGGATGCCATTAAAGTTCATGTGTGTGTAAAGGCAGTATAGTGTAAATCCTGTATGATGATAATAATAATAACCTTACACATGGGCTCAAGCTAAACTAATTGGTTTAGATGATCTTATATTATAACTTACCTGGTTTGCAAACATAAGGAACCTGCTTAGAATCTCAGCTTCAGTTGGGCACATTGACAGTGTCTGTAACAGAAAAGCTGAGTTGGCCTTAAGGATAATCAACTATACACAGAAATGTGCAGCTGCCCTTAACTTCCCTTAATGTAGCCATCTGGTTTATACTTCCCCAGCCTCGTCGGTCTCCCTTCATGTGATCCTTACCTAGTACTTTAAGGGTAGGATTTATAAGGAGTATCAGAGGTTGTTTTTAGATGTATCTTGGTTGGTTCTACAAAGATAATAAGTTTCTAAATATATTGGGTTATTTTGTTTTGCATGGAGAACTGAAACGAGTACATCCAAGCTTTTTGAAGAATTTTTGGGATTAACATATGCATCATGCGTGTTTATGTTTCCTACTGCTGTTTCAACAAGGGTCCATGGCAGAATTTTTGTGGCAGTAGTCCTGTCTGAGGACAAATGTATTTACCAAATATTCGAAAATTGTTAAACCAACGTAGGACAAGGCAGTTTATTTAGTTCTAGGGCTAAAAAAGTCTGTAGGTTTTAATAAGAGATATCCTTAGGTTAAATGTAGGGGTGTATTTATTGTAAAACAGGTTTTATGACTTCTTCTCTGCCTGTTCTGGAACCACAAAGTCCAACATATTTGATAGTCACATTGGCTCTTTACCTTGAAGTATAAATCCTACTGTATATGGAAAGTTTGGAGTTTAGGTGATACCCTTTAATAGGTTTCTTAAAGCTGAACTCCAGGCAAACAACTAAATACACAGATGAAATACATAGATGGGAAAAGTTTTACCTGCCAAAGGATTTGTATTTTTGATCATCAAGTCCTGAGATTTATACAGCTCTATGGTACAGCCCTGTTTGGCAGGGTAGGACACTAAACATTTATACTCACCTAGGTGGATGCAGCTTGACCCGATGCTGCATCTGTCCCCTGCTGCTTCTAAGACTGAGAACCAAATGCGATATCTCCTGCGCTCCGGGACCCAGACCGGTGGTAAGTAGATGGAATCAGACTCCAAAAAAGCAAGGAGGGGACCACCGAAATAGTTAAGGTCGTGCAGCTCCACACCAAGGCTGGGGAAGCCCAAACAGAACTGTGAGGAAGAACAAAAAAGAAAAAAGAAGCGCACCAACCTTGCGCATTACCTCAGTAATCAAAATTTATTAAATAAAAGAATGGTACTCACAAACAGCGAATAAAAACAGGTATGTCAGTCCTCAAAGGGACTTTAAAGGCAAGATGTAAATGCGAATCCCATCATGGAGGAAGCCACTCAGTACAGCTGACGCGTTTCGAAGGACAAGCCTTCCTCAGCTCTGCATTTGCTCCGCATTTGCATCTTTCCTTTAAAGTCCCTTTGAGGACTGACATGCCTGTTTTTATTCGCTGTTTGTGAGTACCATTCTTTTATTTAATAAATTTTGGCTACTGAGGTAATGCGCAAGGTTGGTGCGCTTCTTTTTTCTTTTTTGTTCTTCCTCACGCTTCTAAGACTGAGAACTGGGTAATCAAAGACTGCTGTTTGCTCAGTTCTTGGTCTTCAGCTCTCTGCTTTGCACCTTCAGCACTCACTCAAACACTGGACTGTGCAGGGGGTGGGAGCTGAGAGGCTGAGCCATTTGCCATTCCAGGCATCTGGGTGAATCTCGACATTAAAGTCGGGATCTTTCCAGAGCCTGGAGCGGCACAGTGGTGTCAGCTGAAACTGAGGTCACAGGAGTTCAGAACGAATATTACTTCTGTGATCCCCAGAAGTATAGCCAAAATTGCTTTGGCTATACTTCTCCTTTAATAGTGTATTAATGAATACAGTGTTACATTTAGTATGTGTCTTTTATATCTGCCTGGGTTCAGGCTTCAGTTATGAAACATTTTGGAGCAAGTTAGCTTCCTACCTCCAGCATTATACAATTGTATAATGTTGGAGGAAGCAACCTACTATGTTACGAAACTTTGCATCTTTTAAAAACGTATGGTAACCAACCAAGGTATCACTTAAACTCCAAACTTTCCCCATAAATTTGCACATGCACTTTGCACTTACCAGAATTTCTTTGCAATCCATGCTGTTTTCCAGTGCCCTGAAACAGATTAAAAAGGTTGATTTACAGATCTAAGTATGTAGGCAGGTGTAGTCTACTTTCTCCATTGCAGGTGGTATTCATCTGCAGGGACAATGGAGTAGGAAGTTGAGAGGAACCTAGTTCCTCTATGGTTTTCTCAGTCACAGGGAGGCAGCTATCTAATAGGATACTGGCATCCCATGTGACCTCAGTGGCCATTTTGGGTTAAGCAGAATCTATTTTGGACCCCAGCTGCCAGGTTTGGTGTGCATTTTGCAAGCGGCTAGAGTAGGGACAGGTCACCCACCAGTCAGGGACAGTGCATTGCATCAGGGAAAGATTCCAGAGGAGTAGAGAAAGTGTAGGGACATGTCATCCTTTCTGGAATCCTCCCCATTTCAGTGCAGACCGATCAGGCCACATTCCGTTGCTGCAGATAGATGCTGTTGGCATCTCTGGACCATCGTCTTACTGCCGCTGTCAGAGCCTGGGCTTGAACCTGGGCCTTCTGCGGTGAGAGGGAATGTTTCTTCTTGCTGTGCCACCTGGAATGCTGGACAGCTCCCTTGACAATTGTTTGGATGATCCTGCCTTTGCCCTGTTTGTCTTGAACCCCTTGCTCCTCCCATGAACTTCCTGATAAAAGCCATGTCTCTGCATTTCCTCTTTGCCAGATTATTGCGCCTTCACCAGCCAATATCCTGCTTGTCTCTCCTGCTGCCGTCTATACCTTTGCTGCCGACCTTTGGCTTGTTCCTGGACTACGATTTTGCCTCATCCTCATCTACTACCCTTGGCTTGTTGACTGACTCCGCTTCTGCTTGATCCTTAACTTGTTCGATCTTCTACCGGTTTCCGGCTTGCTCATTCCCTGGTGGGGTGATCCTGAGATCTGAGACCTGGTAACATGCGGCTAAATCCATCTACCATCCTTAGGAGCTCTGGCGAAAACCGGTTGGTGCTTAGACCCCGCACCTCAGGTGAGCCTGCGTCCTTTTCCAGGGTGACCTGCCTGTGTACCTATCCTGCTTGTTTCAGGTAAGTCTTAACACTGCTATAGCAACTGGTCTCTGAACCTGACCCAGACCGTGACAGCCGCCTTGCTGTTACAACTGCTCCTGGTTAGGTTGCTTTGGACTCCTGCCAGACTCTTAAATTTGCACCAGGACTTTTGGATCATGAGTTTCAATCAGTAAAACCTTGATTTGAAAAACTGTAAAAGAAATTGCATAGTCTTTTCAGTGAATGTTCCATAGAATGGATTGTATAGTCTTTTCAGCACTTTAAAGAACTGACATATGTTCTAATTCTTCTCCAGTCAATTAAATGGAGGTTGTGTTACAGGTAATGTACCTTTAGCCTGGGTTCACATATATGCAGTGTGGTATATCGCATGTAATTCGCACAGGAAGGATTCCTGTGCAAATCACATGCGATTTGTGTGCGGTGCAATTGGAGCCATACATTTTGTATGGCTCTATTCGCACCGCACCAGAAACATGCAGGACCCTTTTTTGGTCCGCACAAGAATCAGATCGCAGAGGTATTCATAGTTTATTAATGCCACTGAATTTACATAGTTAATCTGGCTGAAAAAAAGACAAAAGTCCATCCAGTTCAACCATAAAAAAAAAAAAAAAGTTATAATCCTATACCCACAGTTGATTTACACCCATGCGATCCGATTCTGTGCATCGCACCGCGTTTTGCAGACCGCTTTCGGGGTGTTGTTAACTTAACATACACACCCGCAGCGGTTCGCATGAACGGGGTACGATTCTGATGTGGAATTTGCGCAGAAAACGCTGTAAATTCTGCACCGCATCAGTGTGAACCAGGGCTTAAACACATTTCTATCAATGTCATAGTTACCTAGGAGAATTTCCCTTTTCAGTCAGGACTCTGACCAAAAACTCCCCCTCGTTGCACTCCTCCAGAGACGGGATGATGATGTAGTTTCCTGGAGGGAGGCTGGAGCAGATTACCACTTCTCTGTGATTAGCGCAAGGCCCAGCACTGAGAATCGGCTGCAAGGAACACAGCTTGTCTTGAAACAGATATGCATGTGTGTCATCCCCCTGCAATACACAGTAAAAAATGGCTCTAAAATCAAATGACGGCTTGCATGGTATCTGTAAGTTATAGCAAACAGTACCTCTACATCTATTCATGAACTATTACAACATTTTTTAATATATAGGGTAGCCGATCCAAAAATAGTTTTTTTTTAATTTTTTTTTCCACTTATTTTTTATTAATTTTTGTTTTTTTCATTTTTACATAGCATTGGAAAAGGCAGTGATATGAAACATTCCGTTTCCAAATAATTGCACATAAGTTTCCAATAAACACATTTAGACATATCATCCAAAAATATTTTTTATTTTAAGTGAATATAAATTTCCTACCACTTGTTTCCAGCAATGATAAAAAAAAACTGCAAGCGCATCCAGTTTGCCCTTTGTGTTTCATCTATTACAAGGGATTTTAATCTCCCCATTGGATTTACTATTTATAAATTACATTATAAAGAATGACGCAGGAGATGTGAGAACACACTACTTGACTCTGCAACGGCTTGTGTAGATGGGCAAAGTCCTTTACAGGTACTTATGGCCTGTTTCAAACTGCCTTTGCATTTCTGCTGCCTTGCCTGTAGAAAAAAAAAAAGCAGTTCTTATGCTCGTGTACATAAACCCTAAAGTTTGCAGCACAAAGGTGAGTGAGGAAGGACAGAACTTAGTGTTTCAAAAAGGGAGATCACACTACAATAATCCCCAGGAGTGGCAAGCCAAATGGGTGACGGCCATCTATCGAAATCTGACATATGAATTTTGGGTAGAGGTAGACTTTGGTACATTTGTCAGGGGATTGAACACGTAATAAGTGGTGGATACAACCTGTAGAGGCTCATTGTGCAGAGCGACAATCCACATCTATCACTCCAATATGAATGGGAGCAAAGACAGATAGGAGCAATAAACAGTTGGCCATACAGACCAATGATGTTATGTTCTTCAGTCAACTGGAAAAAATAAGGTATTTGACTGGTTTCAGCGAGCAGATGTGGTCCATTTTACTTTCCCCCACTTTAATATATTAACACAGCAGTCTGAGAGCTCTTTCTAGGAAAACTCTCCCAGTTTGCCTGTACTTCATACCCCACCCCTCTGCCTGCTGCTCCATTCAAATGCGGCATGTGTTCCATAAAGTGCAACTCCACTTCACATTTTTTGATAGACTGGGGACTATTAGGATTTTTATTGCTGTCTGTGTCTCTGTTCAGAAGATTTCCACTCACTTCCTGACCCATATGACAATTGTCACCAAGTCAGAAAAAGTGAGTAGAAACCTTCTCCCCAAAAAAAGATAGCAGAAAAAAAAATACAAAGGTTCTGGCCATTCCTCAATCTATGAAACACAAACATTTAATAGACGTCTATGTAAACACTTTTGCCCTCTCCTATGAATGAACTTCAGTGTGTCTCTTTTCACCTTAATGTGGAGCTTAGTGCCTTAGCATCTTCAATAATTCAGGGCCTCCATATTGCCTATCAATACTACCCTTACAGGCTCTTTCACCCTTCAGGGTGAATGCCCCCCCATTCAAGTTCCTCTGTGCTATAGTTGCTACAAGTTTCTTTGGAATTTTTCTTTGTATGACTATCTGCATATGCACAGGAGATCAACCATTTATATTATTTACTGTACATTCATAGCAGCTCATGCCGTCAAGGAACTTACAATCAAAGATCTCTAACTCACATGCATATATGCAAACACATACATTACATACTAGGGTCAATTTTGACAGCAGCCAATTAACCCACCAGAATGTCTTTGGAGTATTGGAAGTAGCTGGAGTACCCAGACAAAACCCACCCATGCATAAGGAGAATATGCAATCTCCATTCATATAGTGTCCGACATCAAACAAGGGATCCAAGTGCTGCAAGGTAGCAGTGCTAACCATGAATTTACCTTAAATATATGACAAGTTACACGCTGTGTGATTTTTCTTAACCTTTGGTGTTTCTGCATGACAGATACAATAAAGCTGCATGGAGTGTTCTCATTCCCTGAGAGTGACAGAGAAAATTGTGGGTTCATCCAATAATAATCTGTAAATATAAAAAAGACAAAAATCAGCCCAGGCTATGGCATTTTTCGTCATCCTCTGTGAATTTGAAAACTGAACAATGAAGAAACAAGAGAGGAAAAGTATTAATGCCTTTAAAATTTGGTGTTGGAGTAGAATTCTAAGAATATAATGAACAGCAAGAAAAACAAACAAACTGGTCCATCAATAAATCAAGCCCAACCTTTCATTAGAAGTACAGATGACTGGGCTGATAGTGTCCTATTTTGGACATATTATGGGAAAAAACAACTCACTGGAAAATTACAATATTTCTTGAAAAACTGACATAGAAAAGAGACAACCAGAAATGGGATAGCTGAACGCAGTCACAGAAAGTATGCAATCACTGGAGACCCAAAGAAGACATATCTGGAAAAAGGACTATCCACCTGGTCACCAGAAGTCAACATTTATTGGCAACCTAAAGGGGATGTGTAGTAGTTTTGTACATAGTTTTGTTCTTTATTATGGTCAGATCTAGAAAATACATTTTATAAACCAAATACACATGAAATATTGTACATTAATTTTATGTATTGTCATATTGAGACAGCTGATGGAGCTCTTGGCTCCTTTATATGTTTTCCAGGCTCACATTAGGTCTTCTGTTGAAAGCAGTCAGTTGTTTACAGAGCTCAGTTTCTCAAGCAGAAGAGCTGATATTCATGCATACAAGTGAATAGGTGAGAGCAGTGACCCTCCCTACATCAAAATGCCTAAATCTGAGGTATCAATGAGGCACTGGGGTTGATTTACTAAAACTGGGGAGTGCAAAATCTGGTGCAGCTCTACACAGAAATCAGTCAGCTTCCAGGTTTTTTGTCAAGGCTTAATTGAACAAGGTGAAGTTAGAAGCTGATTGGCTACCATACCACAGCCAAACCAGATTTTGCACTCTCCAGTTTTAGTAAATCAGCCCCTCAGTGTCAGAATAGCTCTGCTGGGAATGTATTGTCAGTGGGGTTTCCTGTACTGAAGGCTAATTCCGTCTTTTGCAAAACAATAATACATTTTTTTAATTTTGCATTGGAGCCTGCATAATATCACACCATTGATCAGTGGATTGCGTTTGCAATGCACAGGTTCAAGCAACCAAGGTCTATTCCAAAGTATGGATCTATAGTTACAGGGCTGGAGGAAGTTATTAATGGAGTATGACCATGATGTCATCACACTTGTGTTTCATTTAGAGCTACAAGTCCCTAAGCTGCAGTGACAGATGGGATTTGTAGCTTTTTTTAAAGGAGAAGTTTTGGAATTTTTTTTTTTTTTTTTAAATTAAACTTATCTAGGTGGATGTAGCAATGATCTGATGCTGCATCTGTCCCCCGGCCCCTCCAGCTGTGAGAGTGAGAACTTGGCGATCAGACACCGCTGAGCAGAGAGCCATGACTGTCAGTCACTGTTGTCTGCTCTTCCCCAACCTCCACCCACCCCCAGGGCTCATGGAGCTCTGGGCTGTGCAGGGGGCGGAAGTGGCTGGCTCGGGGTCATGGAGTGCTGGGCTGTGGAGGAAGCAGAATTGGCTGGCTCAGGATCTCAGCGGATCACTGAGAGGTTGAGCCAGGTGACGGTCCAGCACCTGAGTAGATCCCGACCATATGGTCACGATCTTTCCCCACCTGGACCGGATCTGTGACATCAACCGACAGTAGACTTTAGCACGCTGACGGCTGAAAACAGGTCACAGGAGTGCAGAACTAACTGCACTCCTGTGATCTGCAGAAGTACAGCCAAATGAGCTTTGACTATACTTCTCCTTTAATTCAGAAATACCTGTGAATGAATGACAAGGGTATGCCAGTGCAGCAAATTAAAAAAAAAAAAGCATCTGTGGGGGGAAGAATGTTTATATTATGTGAGTGAAGTGTGGGGGGTAGGATGTTGCGCACCGTGACCATGTTTCATGTTATATCCTATATATGGGAGTAACATGAAACTTGGTCAGAAAGATGTACTTCAAAATAAAATTTGTATGTAAATAGTAACAGTGTTAGCACATAATTTTAAACATACGCGAACATAAGCAGAAATATATACAACTGAACCAAAACCAATAAACAGTCATTTTCCTTTAATATATAATAGCTGCTTCCAGCCATGAGGGCAATAAAAGCATTACTCCCCGTAGGAGGCATCTGCAGGATCAACATTACTGACCATTGTCAGTGAGGCAGAAAATGATACGGAGAGTGATTTTAAATCTTCCTTATTCTGTCCAACAAAAAAAAAACTTTGGCTGTACATACAATTTAATACTACCCATTCAAATGACCCTACAGCCGTTCTACAAAATTACCAAATAAATGTAAACAAATACTGTATGTATAATGCTTGCTTGATCTTTATCTACTCTCCCAGGGTGTAGCTCAGTTGGCACCACCCCACTAACCTTTGTATCATTGCTGGAAGCCGCCATATTGGTTACACAATGGGAGAGATTTCCTAAAACTGGTGCACTCAGAATCTGGTGCAGCTGTGCATGGTAGCCAATCAGCCTCTAACTTCAGCTTGTTCAATAAAGCTTTGACAATAAAACCTGGAAGCTGATTGGTTTCTCTGCAGAGTTGCTCCAGATTTTGCACTCTCCAGTCTTAGTAAATAAACCCCAATGCGTCCATTGTAGTTACAGATCTAGTGCATATACAACTGTGAATCCCTGCACAGTTCCAAGATTATACTTAGCCTACTTTCTCTATCATGCCCAAGA